TTTGGGCAACAGCCTCGAACCCGTGAATCACTTCAAGACTTCAAGACTTCAAGACTACTTGTCAAAAAAATAATGTAGAAATGCTAGAACAAAATTTCAATAAGTTCTGATCTCAAAAGCAAAACCTAAAATTTCTAAAAAGGTGTTTTGAAGCACTGATTGGCGCCATTAACCGTTACCAAGTGTTTGTTTAAGTGATCCTCTGTTGCGCCGCGAGTTCATCTGTGCTGCTTGTGCGACCCTTCAAGATGTTTTCCGTGCATTCGNGAAGGATCAAAAGGGTTACACATACTCCGAGACCCCTTGCAAAATAAGGTATTCTGAATTTTTGTTTGTATAATTTTGATGTTAGGGTTTCGCTTTCGGCGCTGCTGAGCGCAGCTCGCTGAAGTTGACGGGACTTATCCCGCCGCTAGGGGGCAAGGGAGCGGACCTGAAAGAGAGTGCTGCAATGGAATATGTCGAGAACGTTAGCATGACTCGTTTACGACGTTTCGAGTCCGATTTCGATCGTTATGACTGGCTCATGAACTTGGCAGACCACAATAAGGAACTGTTTTACCGTCTTATGAACAAGCACGCAGATTATATCATGCCTTTGGTGTACACCCCAACTGTCGGTCTGGCGTGTCAAAACCTCAGCCTCGTTTATAAAAGTGGCAGGTTAGTTATGAATTATCTATTTATTCATGGAGCATTTTCAAATCAAGTGATTTGGTCACCTGCCTTGCCATTCCAAGAATATTTTTAATTTTTTGATCTTCAGTGAAGTTCCAAAGTTTTTTTTCAGTTCTTCAATTTTCCGGCGGTGTTGTAAAACAGCTTATAATATTCCAGGCGTTTAAGTCCAGCTGTATGCGTAAGAGAGTCAACCGAATGTCCGTGCTGTTTTGATATATCACTTACCGTAAGGCATATGCCTAATGAGAAGTTTTCTTAGTTGTTGCTTATTGCTTTTGTCTATTAAAATCTTCAGTTCCCTCAGAGTGAATTGTGCCTCTTGCCAATCGTGCGTAACTGGGAGATTTACTCTAACGACTTCTTTCCATTCTTGGGTGATGTCCTCTGATGCCTCTGGAAGAAATGGGATAAGGTCTCCAAACTTAAGTTAGAAATCTATCTTTCAAGAAAACAGGATAGAGATTGTTTGCGTTGAAACACCGATGCTTACACAATTGTACGGATCTGGTAGGGCATGCGGAAGAACAAGGTTGGGCATTAGTGGTGCATCACTGAAGCAAGTGATCGACCTCCATAAGTTGCGTTGGGTAAGGCATTTGTCATGCATGGCATTGCACGCGATATTTATCAAGGGTGGTCAAACTAATACCTAGATTGGTGATATGAAAATCCTAATTGAGAAACCCCGTCAAATAGGTCGCCAAGAGACACCTACTAGAACCGACACACAAAAAGGTGCAACCTGTGGTTGTACATTCATTCACACACATCTGAGACCATACTATGTACCAAACGTCATGGTACAATAATCTTTATAAAAAAGAAAAACGTTCCTCGATTTGCATGTGAGCCGAATACTGCCAGGTTGCCCAGGTCAAGGCAGGTGAGTTTTTTCAAGAATCCACAACCATAGCCTTTGGCTAGCCAACGCCTGATCCTCAAGGCAGCGGGGCGGTGTGAAAACAGCAATCCATTGGGGGCCGGTGTCCAGTTCATTGGATCATATGCCTTTCGAACGGGGTCAAACGTCCAAGGTGCCCAATCGAGCCGGTGACCACTGTCACAACCGGAAAGGTGTGTGGTTCGTATGGCTCATGGTCGGTTTGAAATCAGGGTTTTTGGTCAACTCCCCTAGGTGGTCCACCAACCCGGATATCGTCTTTCATCCTCTCACTTTTGTGGGAAAGCACCTCCGCCAGGAGAACGCAGAAGCTATTTGAGACGCTTGGTCTTATGGGAGCGAGGTGAGAGGGAAGGGTGATCAGCCGCAACCCTAGACGCCCAGCTCCGACTATACTGAGGCTTTCACAGTCCTATAGTTGTACAAACTGAACGGAACCAGAAATTCAAAGATCTCTGTTTAGATTGTTAATGAAGATAAGAAACAGAAATGATCCTAGTATCAATCTCCGCGGAACACCACTGTTTATCCACTGAGAGTTGGTTGTATAATTTGCACCTCACACCGACTGCTTGAGTCGAGAGATCGCACAATACATTGCTTACCAAAGACCCCAAGCGTCTACATTTCAAGACCTTGCGGTCCCTGTCCAATGGAGAATGTTCAGGATTTCAGAAAGGCTTCTAGTAAAGCCTCTGGCGACCTTCATCTAGTTACTTTGTGACTTAGTGCAAGAATACCACCAGATGATCTAAGCAGGGTCGTTTCCGAGCGATTCTACACTGAGCTTGTGTCAGTTGCACACATTTGTTTTATGAATGTTATATAGACGTGCAGACTATTGGTCTATGGTTCCATACCTTATCTGGTACTACTGCTTTTTCTGTTTTCCAATGCTGTAAAGGCCTACTAAACCTTCGGACTCAGACAACTCAGTTACCGT